CAGACTCACACCCACACAGAAGATGAGACACGACCACAGACCAGAAGCCGCACTGCAGCTGCATCACTACCCACTTCAAACCCCTCTGAGCCAAAAATGAAGCGAACTGACCCCCACCATGAAGATGCAGCACGACCACGAACTCGAAGCCAAACAGCAAGATCACAGCTCACCAGCTCAAATCCCCCAGTAACTAAGACCAACCTGAGCACAACCAAGCCCCCACCTGAACAGAACACACCTCCAACCAATCAGAACACAGCCAAACCCCCAACCAATGAGAACACACCCCCACCCAATCAGAACACAGCCAAGCCCCCACCCAATCAAGTCACACCCCCACTAGCAGTTAAAAGGAAGAAGCAGCTGCAAGCTCACATCACTCTGAGAAGCACAGAGCTGAAGACAGAAGCCTGAAGATGATGAATGAGACTTCATCGAAACGTTGCCTAGATACTTCCAATCTTACGCGGGAGAAAACCCGAATAACCAAAGATCCATATATATATATATATATACACTATAGCTCCAAACTTGTAAATACTGGCAACTACTGGCTGAATATTACTGTAGTTGTTGCATAGAAATCCATTCCAATAATGGATTCCAACAGTTACTCCCTTCTGCATTCCCTCTGAATATTTAAATTTAATAACAGCATATCCCAGCCTACTTATCTTTACGAGTTGTGGGTGAAGTAAAACCACGATTCCAAGAAATCTAATCTTTGCTGCTATGGATAGATGTGCTTCCTCACCACAGCACCAAAGGCACAAGAATGTGGTGACTGACTGACTCACTAAAACACTACTAGCTGCTACCTGTTTCTTCCCATCTTTGAATTCCTTACCTTGCATTTCAGCAGATTCTCCACTCGGGTTTGCATGGAACACCCACCTTTGGGCCGCACACACACATAGATGGTTTTCACATCGTGGCAAGAACGGAGAAACTTCTCGATCAGCACTTTGCCCATAAACCCTGTGGCTCCTGTAACAAGGACTGACTTCCCACTGTAGTAAGCGCCAACCAAAGACACCGTGTCCTTCATTTCCAGGTGCTTGCTGGCAGGATCTAGCAGGAAAGTACATAAATCACAGCACTCAATGTTCAAATCTTATGGAACAACATTTGAAACAGCCTTCTGATGTGCAGGACATCTATACAATCAATCTGCTAAATCTTCCAATTGTAGCATCCAAGAGCTTTTAACAGAATAACAGTTGAAAGGAACCTTGGAGTCTTCTAGTCCAGTCCCTGGCCCAAGCAGGAGACTTTATACTATTCCAGACAAGTGGCTGTCCAGTCTTTTCTTAAAAGCTTCTGGTGATGGAGCACCCATAATTACTGGAGGCAAAGTTTCCATCCGTTGTTTCTTGTCTTCTGCTGCTTTGGAAAATAGGTTGACCCCGACTTCTTCTTTATGCCAGCCCCTCCAATATTGGAAGACTGCTTTCATTATAATTACTACCAACCTGCCTTCCATCGAGGACCTGTGTACTGCACGGGTCAAAAAGAGGGCTGTGAAAATATCTACAGACCCCTCACATCCCGGACATAAACTGTTTTAACTCCCACCCCTAAAACGACGCTATAGAGCATTGCACACCAGAACAACTAGACACAAGGACAGTTTTCCCCCAAACGCCATCACTCTGCTAAACAAATAATTCCCTCAACACTATCCAGCTATTTACAAAGTCTGCACTACTATTACTATTAATCTTCTCATCACTCCTTATCACCCATTCTCTCCCACTTGTGACTGTATGACTGTAACTTTGTCGCTTGTATCCTTACGATTTATATTGACTGTTTCTTAGTATGATTTGATTGCTTATTGTACCCTATGACTATCATTAAGTGTCGTACCTGATGATTCTTGACTCTTGACGAATGTATCTTTTCTTTTCTTTTATCTTCTCTTTTCTTTTATCTTCTCTTTTATTTACGCTGAGAGTATTTGCACCCAGACTAACTCCTTGTGTGTCCAATCACACTTGGCCAATAAAAAATTCTATTTTATTCTATCATGTCATCCCTAGTCCTTCTTCTCAGTGGACTAGACATGTCCAATTCCTGCAACAGTTCTTCATACCTTTTAGCCTCCAGAACACATGAAGAATGGTTTCTGGAATAGGGTCTAGTCTAGTGGGGGAAAGGGGGGGGACGTGGTGGCTCAGTGGCTAAGACACTGAGCTTGTTGATCAGAAAGGTCAGCAGTTCAGCAGCTCAAATCCCTAGTGCTGCGTAATGGAGTGAGCTCCTGTTACTTGTCCCAGCTTCTGCCAACCTAGCAGTTCGAAAGCAGGTAAAAATGCAAGTAGAAAAATAGGGACCTCTTTGGTGGGAAGGTAACAGCGTTCCGTGCACCTTCGGCATTTAGTCATGCCGGCCACATGAACACGAAGACGACAGCGCTGGCTCTTCAGCTTTGTAACGGAGATGAGCACCGCCCCCTGGAACCTGAAATGACTAGCACGTATGTGCGAGGGGAACCTTTATCCTTTTAGCCTAGTGAAGAGAAGGATTAAGGGTAACATGACAGTAGTCTTCCAAAATTTGATGGGCTGTCACAAAGAAGAGGCGGACAACCTATTCTCCAAAGCCTCTGAGGGCAAGATAAATAATGGTTGGAAACTTGCCAAGGGAGTTGCAATCTAGAACAAAGGAGAAATTTCCTAATAGGGAAAATAGTTAATCATCTAGAATTGCGGGTGCTCCGTTGCTGGAGGTTTTCAAATCAACTAATGTGCAACATTGCTGGAGTTATAACTGAATAACTTGGCTGCAAAATATATAAACCAAGGGAAACAAAAACAAGTGGTGCATCCCCTAAATGAAAGATATGTTTGGAAAATAAGATCAAAAGGTTATGGTCGAATGCAAGCAAGCCAGAAGAGCCCAAAGAAAAGAAGCTGATGAACAATAAGACCTGTTGTAAAGGCCTGGAGACTAGAACATATGAAGAACGGTTGTAGGATTTGGGTTTGGCTAGTCTAGAGAAAAGAAGAACTAGGGGTGGACATGATAGCAATATTCCAGTATTTGAGAGACTGCTACAAAAAGGAGGGGGTCAATTTATTTTCCAAAGCACCAGAAGGCAAGACAAGAAGCAATGGATGGAAACTAATCAAGGAGAGAAGCAACCTGGGATTAAAGAGAAACTTCACAACAGTGACGACAATTGACCAGCGAAAGAGCTTGCTTTCAGAAGTTCTGGGTGCTCCGTCACTGGAGGTTTTTAAGAAGAGCGGACAGTCACTTGTCTGAAATGATATAGGAACTCATGCTTGAGCAGGGAGTTGAACAATGGTCACTAATCAGTGGGCCACGGACCACTGGTGGTCCGTGAGAAAATTTTGGTGGTCCGCAGATAAATGTCACCCCCCCACAAAGCAATTAATCCAGGCTGCACAGGAACACAAGGCTGCGCTGCCTACATAGTCCTCCCACCCACTGGCCCCCACTCTTCGGCCAAGCACAAACCTTATCTTGAGTAGAGCCATTCGAGCTGGAACTACTGGTAGAGGTAAGACCGATGGCAGGGGAGGGAAATCCTCCCTGGGGTGACTTGCTGACATTGGTGGGAAAGTCAGTACCCTATTCCAGAGCTGCAGGAGTCACAGGACTGGCCCTTTGGTCATCCCGGAGCAGCTGCTCCAGTCCGTGGCAGGCTGGTGCACCTGGGTGGAGGAGCAGCTGCTCCGGGATGATCAAAGGGCCAGTCCTGTGACTCCTGCAGCTCTGGAATATGGGACTGCCGGCAAGCCACCATCAGTCAAAATTCATATTAGTGGACCGCAGGATTTAAAATTATGAGTGGTGGTCTAAAAGATTGGCGGTCCAAAAGGTTGGTGACCCCTGGACTAGAAGACCTCCAAGGTCCCTTCCAACTCTATTCTGATTTTAAAGACCAAAGAATACTTGTAAAAAACATCATCTACAAAAAAAGGAAGATCAAGGAAGCACTGGAAATAATAAAGCAGCAAGCACCAGCCACAGCCAAGAAAATCAGCAGATACAAAGCTCAAACTACACACTACAGGCAGACTTTCTGGTTTCAATTGAATTAGAACAGTTTCTATCAATCCATCAATTGAGAGATTGCAATGAACCAGTCAACATCTGGCAAAGAAGAAATCGTGCAGTTCTGGGCACAGCTGTGGGACAATCCACAGAAATTCAATTAGAATTCAGCTGGGATAAAGGAGTTGGATAAGAATAAAAAAAGAGGCCAAAAGAACATAAAATAATACCAGAAATGGTGGAGAAAAGGGCAAGGAAAATCAAGACTGGTCAGCACAAGGTGAAGATGAACTTCATGGTTTTTGGTTGAAATACCGTGTTTCTCATATAATAAGGCCGGGTCTTATTTTTTTTGAGCCCCGAAAAAATGGCTAGGCTGTCTTTTCGGGGGTGACTTAATTCCCCCCGCTTGCACCTTTGGGTGGGCGGGTGGCGACAGCTTGGATGTTGACCTCGGCATTGGTGGGGCACTTCATATCGGGGGCAACGCAGGCAGCACCATATCCGGGTGTGCAACAAAAGTACTTCCTAACGGCAAGCCCCCCCACCATTCCCCCCCATTTCTCATGTTTAAATATAGTCCTTAACTTGGGGGGAGGGGCTTAATTTAATTTCATGCCTATAAAATATGCTGGAACTTCCTATTGGGGGAGGCCGTATTGTTGGAGAAACAGGGTACTTAACTGGTCCCCACCCACTCATTTTTAAGCAGTTTAACAGCACACTGCAAGGAGGTGAAATTGAAGATTGATTAATATCTGTCAAAACTTACCTAACAATGAAAGAATCAATAAAAGGGGCAGCACCAGGCAGCTACAGTCCAATGACCTACTGACAAACAACTGATCCAAGCTCTGTCAAGGATCTTGGAGTACTCATCCCTAATGATCTAAGTGCTAGAGCCCACTGTAACTACATACCCAAAAAGGTGTTAAGAGTTGTTAACCTAATCTTAGCTAGCTTTTTCTCTGGTAATATTACACTACTAACTAGAGCATACAAAACATTTGCTAGACCAATACTCGAATACAGCTCATCAGTCTGGAACCCACATTACGTATCTGATATTAACACAGTTGAGAAAGTCCAGAAATATTTCACAAGAAGAGCAGTCCTCTACTCGTTGCAGAATACCTTATGCCACCAGATTTGAAATTCTAGACCTAGAAAATCTAGAACTACGCCGCCTTTGGTCCGATCTAAGTATGGTATATAAAATCATACATTGCAGTGTCCTACCTGTCAATGAATACTTCAGCTTCAACTATAACCACACAAGAGCAAACAATAGATACAAACTCAAGGTTAACCGCACCTAACTTGACCTGCAGGAAATACGACTTCAGCAACAGAGTGGTCAATGTCTGGAATGGTCTACCTGACTCTGTGGTTTCTCCCCCAAACCCCAAAAACTTTAACCTTAGACTGTCTACTATTGACCTCACCCCTTTCCTAAGAGGTCTGTAGGGGGCATGCATAAGTGCACCAACCTGCCTACCGTCCCTGTCCTATTGTTTCTTTCTTTCTTTATTTTTCTTATATGTATCCATGTATTCATAACTATGTTTATACTTATACCTTTTATCTTGTAAGCACTTGACAAACCAACCAACCAACCAACCAAACAAACAAACAAACAAATAAATAAATAAATAAAACTTTGAAATTCCTCAGTGATGTGGTAGCTGATGCATCCAACAGTTTCTAATTGAACTCTCCCCATCTGAGCAGAAAGGAATACAGCCCAAACAGCAGGGGAACAAAAACTAAGCTTGTCCCAAAGCAAAGGTGCCTTTTTCAAGAGGCAACTGGACTTGCTGGTTTTTTCTTTGAAGACATTTCACTACTCATCCAAGAAGCTTCTTCAGCTCAGAAGCTTTTCAGAAGCCGAGGAAGCTTCTTGGATGAGAAGCAAAATGCCTTCAAAGAAAATCCAGAATGTCCAGTTGCCTCTTGAAAAAAGCACCTTTGGGGCAACCATGACCTGGAGGACTGAGAATCTCCATAAAAGGTAAGCTTCTAAACACCAGTTTGGAAATCT